AGTTCTGTGAAGGCTCATTTCCTTGGAGGGTGAGTGGGAAAGAGAGAACACACATAGGCTTACATTCATGCATGCCAGCCAGTCCACGTGGCCCATCCAAAGGTCTTAGAAATCCAGGGTGAAGCAAATGATGAGTAATCATGCTTAGGCATCTTAATTTTTATTACTTTTTTAAAAATCCTCACTCGAGGATGATTTTGAGAGAGAGAGGAAGGTGGGAGAGAAAGACATCAGACAGCTGCCTCTGGCGTGTGTCCCGACTGGGGATCAAACCCACAGCCTGGGTTTGTGCCCTGACCAGGAATTGAACCTGCAACCTTTTGGTGCACAGGGCAACACTCTATAATCAGCAGAGCCATCCAGCCAGGGCTTTATTACTTCTTTTTTCATTAACTCCGTGTCCCTGGGTAAAAGTTGATCTGAGTGTCCTGTTCTCCTTGAAGTGAGAATCAGTATGCCTTTCTTGTATCCTGAAAAAAAAAAAAAAGCAGTAAAGCAAAAGCATATACTTCCAGGGCTTTGGTGGAGTGGCCTGGAGGAGAAGCCAAGACAGGCAGGTGCTGCACCTTCTCGGTCACAGCAAGCCGCAGTCTCCTGCACGTGACCTGGAAAGCTCTCGGGGGGAAAAAAAAAAAGGAGGAGGAGTAACTGAGGAGGGTGACTTACCCATCACTGCACTTTGAAATCGAACTGCAGACCTCGGTCATGGCCCTGGCTGACCGTGAGGGGTGCAGAATGGGATATTTTAAGAAAGGCTTTATTTATACTCAAGAGGAGACCGACGGGCTGCTACCGTGGGAAACCCGCTCGGAGGCAGCGGCCAAATACGGTGCAGGTACGTGCCGCGGGGCCGCGCCGCGCGAGGCCGGCACAGCCCGGGTGCCGGGTGGCCGCGGACACTCACTGTGTGCAGCCTGCGTTTCTTTCCGTTCTCTCTTTTCCAAAGTCGCCCCCTCCCCTTCTCAGACTGTGGCCTCCGTGTCTGGGGGGGACGGGTTGCTAACAGTCTTCAAGAAGTGGCTCAAGATTCCGTCGACACGAGGATGCCGTGTTTCTGGGTTTGACACGTGCTCCGTCTCCAAACGATCGGCACATTCAAGCCGTGGGGGGCGCCCCTGCTGTCCCGGTTAGATTTAAACGTGGACTCCAGGATGTTATGCCTGTACACGGTCTCATTCGAGACTAATAATTTCATGTGAAATAGAACTACAGTTTTCTCTCTGGTTTGTGTAGCTACAGAATGGAAGCCGACCTAAGTAGGACCGGGCAGCCTAAAGCAGTGTTCTCCTTTGTTGGTAATTGTGGAAGACATTGGAGGGTGGTGGGCGGGAGGGGGAGCCTGGCACTGGAGGGGGGATAGTCATTAGGGAAACACGGGTGCGACATTTGCCCGAGTGGGTTCTTCAGAGCGGACCAAGCGGGAGAAGGAAATGGTTCTCCCTGGATGTGGTTCGCGGTTGCGTGTGCAGGAAGACAGGTAGCAGTCAAGTGTCGTATTCGAAACAGGGACGAGTTAAACTGTGGCTTCAACGAAAGTGGCGTAGGTTGCGCAAAAAGAACAGGAAAACACTGTTAGGTGAGGTGTCCCGTGAGAAAGGAGACTCTCTTGGCTGCAGTGTGATCGCAAGGTGCTGCAGGTGCCCACGTGGGGCACAGAGGGAGCTACTTGAACACACAGTAAGCACTGCACCCTCGTTCCTGCCCCTCCCCAGCTGAGACCCCCCCCAGGGTGAGCCGCCCTGGGGGCCCTGCGGGGAAACCTGGCCTGCTTCCTCGGTGGCCCTCCAGACGCGGTTCACTGTGACTTTTTAAATTGTTGTTCAAGTACGGTTGTCTCCTTTTTCCTGCCACCACTTCGCCCCGCCCCACCTGACATTTTCTTAATAGATTTGCGATGGTTAGTGATTTCATATCATTACTTCTGTTTCTCTCTGCACACCGGGTAGTCAGTGGTGGGGGCGGGGTGGTTCTTGGGGTTCACGGTTTCCCAGAGAGATGGTAGGTGGAGTCCTGGGGTTGGAGATGGTGAGTGAGAAAAAGTTACTCGTGCGATTACGCGGGCTGCTCTTGGTTGTCCAGGCTGGAAATAGGTACGTGGTTTGTTTGGCCTGAAATTCCGTGGTTGGTTAGGGATTTGAAACCGAGAAGAGAAGTTTATCTTGCAAGCCCAGGCCCTCGCCAGGTTCATGCTGGGCTGGGCTGCGGAGTTCCACCGCGGAATGAGGAAACAGATAAGTCTAACAGGGAGGCGTTCAGCGGAGAAGCACGGGGGACAGGCAGGAGCCGCAGCCGTGGGAACAGCCCCTGCCCGCCCGCCCGCCCGCTCACCCCTCCCAGCTGCCCCTGCGCCCTCCCATCCGCAGACTGGGCAGGGACTCGGGGGGCCGGGTTCTGGGGTGCAGGAAGTCTCAGGCCACCCCCGCCACCGAATCTGTGACTTCCGCTGAGTGGGCAGCCCAGCGTCCCCCCCTTAACGACTCTTTTGTAAAGAGTTAATTCTTCTTTTAAATGTTGCTCTCGGGGGTGGCTCCCAGGCTAGACTGGAAGGTAAACGCTGGCCACTACCTTACCAGACATTGCACGGCCTTATTGTTAAACCTCCCCTCCGTGCTGGCCTGCTCAGGGCACGCGGGCCCACCGGAGACGAAGGGGGGTGCGGGCGGGGGAGTGGGTTGCAGCCCGAGGCTCTGAGTCGCTGGAGAAAAATTGCTGCCAGATGAGTGGCTTCCAGCGCCCAGCTGCCGAGGCGGCCAGAGGATCAGAGGGATCGACCCAGTCTCCCCTCTCCTTTGTAAACGTTTGCGGGAGGGGTGACGGGGTTTGGTGGGCGTGTCTATATTTCCTTTTATACGGGCATGTTACAGGTGACACGGGGACGTGCTGTGGGGAAACCCGGCGAGGACAGGCTGCGGGGACAGGTGGGTGGAGCGGCAGAAATGGGACCAGCTCTGTGCGTGCTGTCTTAGGGCCGAAGTCCTGGTGCCTTGCTTGCCTGCCGGCGATTAGATACAGGAGTGTGGGGGGCGTACATACACAGGGGTTCCATCGGCAGCCTTCAGCACAAAGAGCATTCTCACCCAGCAAAGAAGCCGTAGACGCCTTCACAAGCTTACATTGCATTTTATTTTAAATCTTCCAGTGCCCACCCTGGAAGAATTCCCGTAAGAATCATCCATGCACTATCAAATTAATAATAACATGTTAATAATTATTTTATGGCCACAACTTATATCCCGAATTGTTTCCTTGCCACCATTTGGTACACGGAGTTCTTTTGTCAGGAGGGACTTTCTTTGGAGACAGTTCTCCCAGCAGGGCCCCCAGAAGCTGGGCACCTCCTCCTCCTCCCTGGGGTGCCCCACGGGGCTCCTGCGCATCAGACAGGGTGGCAGGCGGGGCTGAGAGGACAGAGGGACAGGCTGGTAGCCCTGGTTTCTCCCCCCGCTGTCCCCAGGGGCCAGGAGAGGGTGCCAGGGGCGCCCATCAGCCTCATTCTCATCTGTCACCCTGACTGGGAGCCAGCTGCTCCTTCTGGAGCTGGAAGCCCCCTCCCCATCCCGTTCCTCCCGCTCCCCCACCCCAAAGGCTCTCAGGCTCTGCCCCGCCTGCGGGACCCTCATGCAGTTCTCTCCTCCTTGAGCTCTTTCTGGAAGTAGCTTTCCTTCTGGATCTGGGCCACGGAGAGGAGACACAGCTGACTCATCTTGCTAAAACCTCGCCATTACCTGGGCCCTGGGGGCCAGGAGCAGAGAGATGTCGGGTGGGGGTGGGTCACAGCAGAGCACCCACCTTAGAAAGGTGCTTTCCAGAGCACGACACCTGTTATTCAGGCGCCCGTCAGCTGGAGGCGCCCTCTGGCCGGCCTGACCCCTGCCCGCTCACACGGGGAGTGAGCCCTGCAGAGGAAATCTGTGTCACACACACAGAGAGGTGCCCAGACCACAAGTGTGCACCTCGGTGAGTTCTCACACATACAAGCAACCGTGTAACCAGTCTCCAGCCGTGGTTTCTCTTTTTATTGTAATATTTACCTCCTAATGATAACACTTTGTAGTAATTTGGGAAAATTGAGCCAAGTGCAGTCAAGAAAATAAAATCGTCTTGTTGTACCTACTGCCCCACAAGTGGCCACTGGTCACATGCTGTGGCGCTGGCAGCCCATCCATCTGTGTCACCCCCTCGTACCCACAGATATCACGTGTACCACACACGCACACACACACACACACAGCACCACAACCCTTGTGGCATCACACACGGAGGTCCAAGCAGGTGCAGCGCCGTGACACACAGCTCTGGGAGTGTTGCCGCCTGGCTGTTGGCTTCCAGGGAAGGAAGGGGAAGCTGAGAGCCGTCTGTCTCCTCGCCTGAGAGCAGGAAGGGGCCCCTCGCAGCCGGGGTGGGGGGGAGGGGCGGGAATAAGGGGCTGCCATATACGAGTGGGAGACTCCTAGATTTCACTTATTCAGTATCTGCCCGTCTCTCAGTCAGGATACTCAGCAGTGATGACTTCTTTTTTCTTTTCTTTTCTTTTTTGTTTTTAATTAGCTCTCTACTAGATACCTAAACAGACTTTAACCACAGGGAGTCAGAAGGTTGGGAATCGGCCGGTGGTTTCGGGAGCTGCGGGAAAATGCTCTCTCCATCACGCCTAACAGGGACGAGCCGATGTCCTCACATGCAGGTGGCTTTGGTCCTCGTAGACTTTGCTGCTTGTGTTGTCAGGAAGGTGACAGCTGGCACCAGCTTCCTGTTGCTCTCGGCGGTGCAGGGCACATGGCCCACCTGTCCCCTGGCCCGCCACTGCAGGGCTCCTGTAACACATGATTTCTTCCCTCATACACATGAGATCTGCGTCATCACACATCCAGACACCGGGTTTTTATCTTTGTGAGACGTCTGGGCCGCTCGCCCCTCGCCCCTGCTCGCTCGCCGCGCCCGCAGACGGTGCGCCGCGGCCTGCCCTGCTCACGCGTGTCCTCCTTGTGTTGTCTCCACAGCCGGAACCAGCTGTCCGCCCTGCCCGCCTGCCTGTGCGCCCTGCCTCTCCGAGTCCTGATTGCCAGCAACAACAAGCTGGGCTCGCTGCCGGAGGAGATAGGTCAGCTCAAACAGCTAATGGAGCTGGTATGTTACTGATTTTTAAGATGATCTTTTTTTTTTTTTTTTTTGCGCCTGTGTACTAATCATCGTCTATCGAGGTTGCCAGAAAGACCGTTTGCTACGGTTGGAGAAGGGGGAGCCGGTGGTGGTGATAACGAAGTGAAGGGGGGAGGGTGGGCGGTGGTGGTGCTGTGGCAGACACAGTTCCGGAAAGTTCCAGGTTCCCGGAGTTTCCCGGTCCTTACGCGTACAGGATGCACGGCCCCTGTGGTTTACAGGTCGTCACACACTCGTTAGGTCCTTCTTTCTTGCCACCGTGCAAGTGAGTGGGTCGTAATCTACGGACAGACTGGAAAAACGATGTACAAACAAGTGAGTAGGCCCCACTTCTCGAATGCGCGTGGCGAAGTCACAAGGCAGAGAGAACAGAGTGCCCTGATTCCGGGAGGATCGGCGTCACCGTGCCCCACATTGACGCAGCAGCTTTAAGATGTGACCGTGTCCCCGGGGGGCGGAAGAGAAGGACACGTGACAGGCAGGCCGAGAGATGGGTTGTGTGCGCGCGCCCGAGACGCAGGCGCCCGCCGGGGCTGCCGTTCCTTCTGTCCTGACTCAGTTCCTTACCTGGTTTCTCAGGAGGGGAAAGGATGGCTCCTTCCTAGACTCCCGTGGAGCTGAACTGGGCGGGCGTAGAGGCGAGACGGGCCATTAGGGCTGCACCTCGGGGTCGCAGGGCGCCCTCCAGGCTGCACTACTTCGTGCTGAGCTCGCGTGCAGCACAGAGTTGACTGCTGTGGTTCCGGCCTTGAGGAGGACCTTCCTCCAAGTGGGCGCCTGGCCAGAGCACGGATGGCCGGTAACTCTCCGCTCGGGCGCCGTCTCCAGCTCATTTCACTGCGGCCACCTGGACCAGGGTGGTGGTGGCCGGGAGGCCCAGATTGAGGGCTGTGACCACATTGTCGTGTCTGCAGCGAGGAGTGCCTGGGGGGCCGGGACAGTGCCCACGTCCCACATGCATCGACTGTTACTCGAGGTTAGAGACCGCTGACCGCTGCATCGGGCATTGGCGCTGTGAACAGAGCGCCTCTCTCGGGACTCGGGTGCGAGAGGTGTCGGAAGGCCATCCCGGCCGGCTCAGACCAGGGGGTGGGCCGGGTCGTAGGGATGCGGGGGTCTCCCCTCACTCAGGATCAGGACGCTGGACCAGGGGTCACGTGAGGGCGAGAGCAAGACCCTGGTAAGAACTGAGCATGCTCCGTTCCTGCGCGCAGCGGGGCAGCGGCCCGGCGCATGCGCCCCAGGCTCAGACGCCCTCCCCCCTCTCCTCCAGCACGTAGCGAGGGCCGGCTCGCGGGTCTCAGCCCCGGCTTCTAAGCGGGAGAGGCCCGGTCTGAGTCCGGCGGCCTCTCCTGACTCAGTCACCCCAGGGCACGGGGCCATGTCACCCCGATCTGGCTGCTCAGCTGCCGCGGAGGGGGGCGCTTCTGAAAGGGCGTGGCGGTTCACTCGACCCCTCCCCCGAAAAGGCCGTGTGTTACCCGAACCACGTTCACAGGGCAGGGGGCGATCGCTTCAGTCCCGGCGCGGGGAGAGGTGGTGGGGGAAGCGCCCGGGAGAGGCTCCACTTGTCCTGCACAGTGGCCCCGTGCGGCCCGTGGCGACCACCCGACTGGACGGGGCCGCCTGTGTTCCTTCCACGTGACTCACTCCTGTGTGTCAACAGGCCTGACCTTTGTGGAAAGCATGGATTTGTGACGTCGGTGAAAAATCCAGTCAGTGGCCGTTTTCTCACCACAAAGGGCAACTGGCCTTGCTTAAGGTCACAGACTAAAAAAAGATCAGTTTCCATCTGTTCTTCTTTATCTTTCATCTTTTTCTTAAAATAGCAGTGTTACTGGAGTGAGCCACATCCGATGATTTTTTAGCTGTATCAATGGGAAAGCAATTCTCGGGAGAGCCCAACGCGAGTGTGGAACTCCGGGGGCAGCTTCTGTGTTGGGCTACGCAGTGACCAACTTCTTAAGAAAGCACAGGCGGGCGCTCCCCAGGCACTCAGGGTGCCCTGGGCCACCGAAGTGCTGATGGCAATCTCTCAGCTTATAGGCGCAGCATTGTTTAACTATTTTGGAAGAAATATTCTTAAGTTTTTCACGTTAGACTCTGAGGATCCTAAATTGCATTGCACACTCTGTTTTCTTCCAAGTATAAGTGAGGTATTCCAGAGTCGTCCCTTGCTTAGAAAACAGACACAAAAACACCGCAGCCACCCACGAGAAAGGAGTTGTCCTTTCTAATTTTTTGAGAGTAATTGGAGTTGGGGAAAAATACCGTACCTTCTTTTTTTTTTATCCTCACCTGAGGACATTTTTTTTCACTGCCATTTTTTTTTCACATTTTTTAGAGAGAGGGGAAGGGAGAGAGGAGGGAGTAAGAAACATGGATAGGCTCCCTTCTCGAACATGCCCTGGGCTCAGGCATTGAACCAGCAGCCTGGGTGTGTGCCCTGACCAGGAATCGAACCTGTGACTTTTGGGTCTACAGGACGATGCTCCAACCAACTGAGCCACAGTGGCCAGGGTTATCTTAGCTTCTTCAGTGTGTCGCAATTATCTAAGAATCTTAACACAAAAAGTGTTGCAATCCCGAGATGGGTGTGTCCACCGTTTGAGATTGCAGCAGGGGTGTCCAACCTGCTGGCGTCTCCGGGCCACCCTGGAAGAAGAAGAGTGGTCTTGGGCCGCACGTTAAGTACACTGTGATACGTAATCACAAGGAAATCTCATCATGTTTTAAGTAGATTTGCAGTTTTGTGTGGGGCTGCAGGTTGGACAGCCCTGTAAGGGAATACTGGAAGGCAGTGGCTCCCACTTCCCCGCAGAAGCCATTCAGAAGCGTCTGAGATGCCCTTTCCTTGACCCCACACGAGAGGCCCCGGGAACTCACGCAGTGTCAGCTCTCTCGAGCTGGCCCTCGGGAGGCGCTGCTGATGGGGACGATCCAGTGGGCACTTCGAGTGGCTTCTGTACCTTTGTTCCCGCAGCGTGGAGCCGCGCACACCCATTGCTTTGGGCTCCCGTGTCCATCCTGTGGTGGGAAGGGAGAAGGCATGGGCTCTCCCCGAGCGCCTGCTCTGCGCCCGGCACCCTGCTGGGCACGGGACGACGTATCCCATACAAACCTGACAGTCTCCCGGCAGGCGGGGCGGGTATTGCGTGTGCATTGCACAGACAAGTCTGGGTTTTGGAAGTACTTACCCAAGGCCGTGCAGCTACGGAGTGGTGGAGCGGAGGTGATGAATGTGCAGGCCCCTGCACAGCACTGCACGGGTGGGGGCGTCGTCTCTCCCTCCGCGTTGCCCGCCCGTCCCGGAGAAGCAGCCTTGGTTGCTTTCTTGGGCATCGCTGGGTTCAACGGGCACCGATTTCCCCACTGACGTTGTGGCAGGCTGTGAGCAGCCGAGAGCGAGTCAGGGGATGTCGCCAGCCTGGGGTGTGGTCCAGAAGATGGGCTGCGTCTGTCGGAGAGGCCCCTCACTGAGGACCCACGGCCAGAAGGAGACTCAGCAGATTGCCTTTGGACTGACCAAACCCCGTCTGACTCATGAAAACCATGTTAATATATTGGAAACACGATGATTTGGCCATCACATCACGCCGGAAGGATAAGGGATAGTAAATATTGGGCAAGAGATGCTCTATGAATGCCTTACAAGGAAGGGGTCCCCAAAACCCCAGAATTTACGTATAAAAAGTTGTGTATTCTCATATGTTTAAACTTCAGTCACCTTCCAAGCAGCTTGATGCAGCGCACCTATCAGAACGCTCTTCCCATGGCCCAGAACAGTCTGAACTCATCGATTTTGGTCCCTTTTATTTAGTGCTTCTGCTACTTTTTTGTTTCACCTCTTCCACATCAGCAAAATGTTTCCCTCTGAGGACTTTTTTCATCCGGGGAAATAAGCAGTCTCTCGGGGTGAGATCAGGTGAATGAACAGGGAGGGTGGGGCACAGGGGTCATGCCATTTTGGGTCAAAAACTGCTGAACACGCAGAGTGGTTTGCACAGGTGCGCGCGTAAATCACCCATCATGCAATGTGCAAATGCCTTGAAAGAGTCTTTAAGAAAAATTCACTGAAGCCAAACCCAGCCTCTCACAATGATGCCAGCTGGTCCACTGAGACAGATGGGTTCCGAGAACGCTTCCCGAGTGGGGGGACCTATACTACAAGGGGCCTGCCTTCCAGAAGAGAATTCTAGTTTTGGGGGGTCCCCCCTTGTCTGTTATTAACATATAGCCATGTGTATGCAGGCAGCCACATTTAAGGTGGAATGCAGTTAATACATTGGGGAACGTTATAGGGCATTTGCCGAAGGGTGAGGAGTTGCCTTACTGGTTCCGTGTGCGTGCTGACATGCTGGGGTCCAGAGAAGATCTGTTTCTTGTTTGGTTTGTCTCCACTCTGTCCTCTCCTGAGTCTCGAGTGCGAGAACCGTCTCCCAGCTCTTCCCTCACGTACGAGACCTCAGTGTCACTGACTCAGAACCTGCCCCCTAGCCAGAGAGCGCACAGGACCCGGCTCAAGTAGTGGCCGAGCGGAAAGTGCTGCAGTTCCCGGCCCCGACAGACACACCCTTTTTTCTTCTCTTTTCGTGAAATGTTTGGTTGTGCGGAGAGTTGGCATTCAAGGACTGGGTATAGACATAGGACTTCCTAAGCAGCTTCTGGCCGGAATCCCTTCGTCCTCGTTTTTTTTAAAGATTTTATTTATTTATTTTCAGAGAGGGAAGGGACGGAGAAAGAGAGAGAGAGAGAGAGAGAGAGACATCAATGTGTGGTTGCTGGGGGCCATGGCCTGCAACCCAGGCATGTGCCCTGACTGGGAATCGAACCTGTGACACTTGGGTTCGCAGCCCGCACTCATTCCACTGAGCTACGCCAGCCAGGGCAACTACCTCATTATTTCTCATGTGGCATATGGATTTTCCTGATCCTGGAGGGAAATCAGGATTATTTAATCTATCCTC